CAGCTCGAAGTCCAAACACCAAGTTACTTTTTTATGAGCTGTTTGTAAATGAGCGATGGAGTAAGATATAGTCATAAAAAATCTTTGTTAAATAATGTTTAATAAGGAGTACTTATAAGAAAATCATGATGTGGACAAAGACAATCATTAAAGGGAAAAGAAGCACAATAATTTCCATAGGTTATTTCTTATCTAGCTAGCTAACATAATTCACACTCAAATTCACACATATCATTATGACTAAATGAGGTTGTGTGTTAGGAAAAGAAATGGTCCTGTCTGTCTGTCTCTCTCTGTCTAATCACATGATCTGTTTTTGTACCTGTACCATGTTTTTGTCTGTCATATATGTAGTGTACAGCAGGAGGTGACACACCATCAGTAAGACTGATCATGGAATAGTGCATCCAGTTTTGGCGTCCACCTTTGACAAATATTTTGAAATATTGGAGATGGGGCAGCAGAAAGCAATGAAACGTTTTCAGGGCTGGAGGAAAATGCCTGCTAGTGAGCTATTGAAAGAGCTCAGCCTGTTTAGATTATAAAAAAGATCGGGAGGTGACGTCATTGAAGTGTTGAAGTGACTTCATGGAGAGAAAATATCAGGTATTAAAGGGCTCATTAATCTAGCAGAGAAAAGCATAACAAGACCCAGTGGCTGGAAACTCAAAAGAGACCAATTCATATTAGAAATAGGGCACAAATATTCAACAGTGAGGATGAATCACCAAAGGAACAAACTAGAAATGGAAGTGGTCTTGAAGACTAGATGCCTTTCTGGAAAGTGTTTAGTCAAAAACTAGCTACTATTCTATACAGAAAGCATGCGATATGCAGGGTGTCTGATTACATGCTCTAATTGTGTCTTCTGTCCATAAAGTCTGCTAATTTATGAAAAACTGAGTGTAGCATGGGGAAGAGCCTCTCGTGTTCTCAGGTGTAGTCGGTGTCATCCCCACAATGAAGAGTTATTGAGCGGGGTGATCCAGGGGAAGCAGCTCAAACATCCAATGTGGTTGGACAGGAGCAGGACATCAGCACTGCAGGGGAGGGGTGGGTGTGGCAGTGACATCACAAGGGCCTTTGGCAGGACCTCAGCCTATTGGACAAAGGTGGTGGGGAGGCGATGATCTCACAGAGAGATCTTGACATCAGCCAGGCAGGACAGCGGTGCAGGACAGGGGCAACCTTGGAGATCCCTGTGGCTTTGCTTCAGCACGTCTGCTTCTCGAGGTCTCTCCTTGAGGACTGAGAGAGAATTCACTTTCACGTACATGAGTGCAAGGAGGACCCTCTTTGGAGTTTTCTCCTTTTCTTTTATCGATTTTGCTAGAAAACAGATGTCCCTGTATAGAAGGTAAGAGCCTCCGAGAGGTTTGGAACCTGTTCAGTCTGATCCATCAGGTGCCGCCTGATTTTTAGGAAAGGAAAACACTAGATTGTGGGGGCAGCATTTTATTTCCGACCTAGGACTTTGTCCCTTAGAATTACTGGAGACATTGGGGTTTCCCCTTTTTGTTTTCCTGTCTCTCCCTCCTTTCTCTTCTTCTCTTGCATCTTTGTCCTTTCCCCTGCTCTCCTTTCACCACCAGGACCTGTCTGTGCACGTGGAGTGGGGGGAGGGGAGGAGGTTGCACTCCAACTCTCATTGCGGGAGGCCCTCCCAAAGACATGTGGCTGGAATAGTGCTCTAAGAGTGACTCCCTCTGGTGGTGACCTGGGGCATCTGGTGAGAACTCTCAGCTTTCTGATTCTCAGAGTCTCAATGCTGATTGGGCGAGACTGGGAGGAGACTCAGGTCCTTTGAGTAATTCATGATTCTCTCTCTAATGGGCTAGTTCTTCTAAAAATGCTCTAATGGTTCCTTCTGGCCATAAAGTCTACTAACTTATGACAACCTGATTGCGGCCTGGGGAAGAGCCTCTCGTATTCTACTGTGTAGTCGGTGTCACCCCCACAATGAAGAGTCATTGAGTGGGGTGATCCAGGGGAAGCAGCTCAAACATCCAATGTGGCTGGACAGGAGCAGGACATCAGCACTGCAGGGGAGGGGTGTGTGTGGCAGTGACATCACAAGGACCTTTGGCAGGGCCTCAGCCTATTGGACAAAGGTGGTCGGGAGGCGATGATCTCACAGAGAGATCTTGACATCAGCCAGGCAGGACAGGGGTGCAGGACAGGGGCAACCTTGGAGATCCCTGTGGCTTTGCTTCAGCATGTCTCCTTCTTGAGGTCTCTCCTTGAGGACTGAGAGAGAATTCACTTTCACGTACGTGAGCCAAGGAGGACCCTCTTTGGAGTTTTCTCCTTTTCTTTTATTGATTTTGCTAGAAAACAGACATCCCTGTATAGAAGGTAAGAGCCTCCGAGAGGTTTGGAACCTGTTCAGTCTGATCCATCAGGTGCCAACTGAATTCTAGAAATGGAAAACACTAGATTGAGGTGGCAGCATTGTATTCCCAACGTAGGACTTTGTCCCTTAGAATCACTGGGGACATTGGGGTTTCTCCTTTTTGTTTTCCCTTTTCCTCTGTCCCTCCTACCTTTCTCTTCTTGCTTCCTTTGTCCTTTTCCTCTGCTTTCCTCCCACCCCCAGGAGCTCTGTGTGTGGAACGGGGGCCGGGGGCATTGTGGGAGGCCCTCACAGAGAGGTGAGACTGGAATAGTGCTCCGAGAGTGATCACCTCGGTGCTGACCTGGGCCATTCTTTGGGCTATTTGATGAGAACCCTTCGCCTCCCACCCCTCAAAGTCTCAACCTTGATTGGCTGAGGAGGTGGCTATTGACAGGGAGGAAACTCTGGTCTTTGTTGTTCTCTTTTATGACCAAGCAAATAAGTCACAACCAGTTATATGTTTGACCAATGTTGATGCTGCTCTCCATTAATTGTCTCGGAGCAGTTCATGATCCTCTCTAACATTCCAATTCTTCTAAAATACTTGCTGAATAATTACTATGAACAATTGTTGGTTTTTAGCTCATTTGAGAGCAACTCTGCTACTGACTGGCTGCATCAGCTAAGACAAGTCACTGCTCCTTTCTCAGCCTTAGTTTCTCCTTCTGTCAAGTACGAATAACAATCCTCTCCCACCTACCTCGCGATGGGTGGATGATGGGATCCATTGATGAGTGTCACTAGTAGTAGTGCAGAATAGGAGGTGTCCTGTCACATTGAGCCATATCAGATTGACATAATATTCTATTTTATTTGTATTTTATTCTTTTGAAATTAAGAGCAGCAACTACTTAGCTCAGACTGAAGCATCTCATCTAATTGTCTAGATCATAGTGTCTCCCCTTTATGTACAACGAGACAGTTTAATGCACTGTGACAAACAGGAGATGCTCTTGTTTTGCAAACAAAGATTTTTGCAGAGAATTTTCATCCTACTTGTTATGTTTTCAAGAAACAAAGTGGTTTAGTCTGAATGGATTTTCTGACAGAAAACGGTTTCCATGAAAATTTTCCTGGGTTCTATCCCTGGTTCCGGGGGGGCTGTTGTCTGTTACTTAGAACAGGAGTCAGGACTGTTGGTTTCTCTTTCTGGCTCTGTCACCGCTTTGCTGTGTGACTCCTTGGGTAGGTCCAATGGGAATAGGGTCAATTCTCTCACTCCAGGCAGCAGTGAGTGGGGTGGGAAGGTTCACTCTCTCCTGGTTGAGGGCTGTTCTTTTCACTCCAATAACGTTACAGGGGCCTTGGGGAGGGGCTCACTCCCGGGCTCAGATACAGGAGGGGCAGCAGGCTCCAGGGAACAGGCGCTATTCCTCTCCTGCCACTGTCTGTCTGGGACGCCTTGGCCTTGTCATTCCCTAGCTCAGTGCCTCAGTTTCCATTCTCGCCAGCCTGTGCCTATATCCCTGTGGTTTCATGTCCATGTTGGCAACAGTCCCACCCCCATACTGCACAGTCTAATACCAGCTCCTCTCTCTTACCAGCACCATGAAACCTGCCCTTGAGCCAGACCTAGAGACCCACCTCTTACGAGCTGCCCTTCACTATGTCTTCATCCTGGGCACGGAGAAGGACACCACCCACCTCCAGGTACATCCTCCTCCTCCATTCTCCTACTCTTTCAGAGTGGTCCTTGGTCCCTGCTCCCTTGATTCACTGGAGCTCCAAATTTAGGGGTGGGGTAGGCAGAGATGGAACAATCTGCAGGGTTGGATCCTTCCCTCCAGAGGATTACCCCTCCCTGGGGTATTTCTTTCTTTCTTCCACATGCCGTGTTTTGCCCAGAAGCCCAGCTTCCATCCATAGCAACTTGGCTGTTTCATACTCTTCTGCCTACAAGGCCGTCTGCAGAGACCTGCTAAGCTCATGGATCAAAGATCCAGGTGTCATCAATTCTTGCTAATTGCCTGCAGTGGGATGTGAATGAGAGAGGCCAGGATATGTGTTTGGGAGTCTCACTAATGCTTCCCAGAGACCCCTCTTCCCATCCTGTGGCAGGTGTAGGCCCAGTTTCCCTAACTCTGACCCATGCTTTGCAGGCTTGGCACAAAGTCATGCCAGAGCTCCTGGATGCCATGCTGGGGAACCTGCTGGCAGAGTCCCCAGACACAGACAGGCTCCACCACAGCTTGGAGGTGAGCCCCATAAGGAGGGGTGGGAACCAATTTTACCTTAACTCTTTGGGGGACTAGAAAGGAGAGACTGGAAGATCCATTTTCTATTCTGTTCTCCTAGCTGGGTCCCCAGTGGGGCATCCAGTGCAATGCAGTGTCAGGTCCTTCTTTCTTGAGGGACAGAGGAAGGAGCTGGCACTTCAGGCCAGAGCTCTGCCTGGTTCTGTTGAGCACTAACCACAGGGCCCCTGTCTGTCTTGGGGAGTGAGAGTCTGAAAACCTACCCTTTCCCTGCCCCCCCAGCACACACCCCATGAGATTCCAGAGATGGTTCTCAGAGAAGAGGCACCCACTCCTTCCTATAGAAACAGGAGGACCCCAGGGAATCAGCCCTTTTCTCTGACATGCTCTGAAATTCCTGGGGGGATTGTGCTCTCAGTGACTCCCTACATCCCACCAAGGATTTTAGTAGCAGGGAAGGGCGAGGATTCAGTCTCCTTTCTGGTGAACTTAGGGTGACCAGCTCGCAAGAGTGAAATAGCAGGACACATTGGGCGAGCGAGGGGGAGGCGGGGGGGGGAAGATGACGAAGACAGACAGGTGCCCAGAGCCATGAGAGGGGGCCCTAGGAAGCTGCGAGAGGGGGTCCTAGGAAGCTGCGAGAGGGGGTGTATGGCCCCAGCTCCAGCCCCCAGTAGAAGCCACGGGGCCAGGGGCACAGGGCTCCGGCTCCAGCCCCCGGCTGAAGCTGCAGGACAGGGGCACAGGATCCTGGTTGCAAAGTCAGATCCAGTTGCAGGGCAGGGGAGTGAAGGGTCCCGGTTCTAGCTCTGGCTCCAGCCGCAGTCACAGAGCGGAGGCCCCAGTCCTGCCTTCAGCCCCAGCTTCAGCCACTGACAGCTGAAGCAAACCACGTCACAGAGGTCTGGAATCAGTGAGTCTAAATTATAGACTTAGTTGTAATACATATTTAAACATACAGATTTATTTGTTCACTAAACAAACAGGGGTAAAGGGCCGGGTTTTTTATTCAGTCAATAAATCAACTTCCTAATTTGCATGTCTCTCAGATATGCCAGAAGTCTAGTACTTTTTGGCTGACTTTGCCATAGCCATAACTTACTTCTGGGCAATCACAAAGCTGGAGAAGTCCTTGCAGCTCATCTGGAAATTCATTTTGACAAGGGTTTCACTCCGCACCAAGTCTATGCTGCTTCGATTCCGGACATCAGTCCATGCACCTTTCATGATTGAAAATACACGCTCAGAG